GTTTACGGAGAATAATTCAAGAAGAAGAAAATATATCAAAATTTAATTTAAAAAAAGAAAAAATTCATTTTAACAAAGAATATTTATTATTATATTATTATTATATTATTTATTATTATTTAATGATGCAAAGCAAGCAATTTTCGATTTCAAGTTCTTCCATGATCGAATTAAAATTTCTGTGTTAAACTTTTATATTGCCATATATTAAAATTCATCAAAATTCGTATTGATTGAGTTTTGCTTAGAAGTTTTATCAGTTTTATTTGAAGCAGCAAAATATTGAACAACCACTGACTTGCGTTCAATGTTGAATGAAGCACGAAATTCGTGGAATCGAAATAAATTTAATTATAACTTCGCTTCGAAAATTGCGTCGTCATTATGTTTCTGCTTTTATAAACAAATAAACTGAACTTTCCATGAAAATCTTGTTATCGAAAGTATTATATACGTAGACATTCAATTCAAATATGAAAATGAATTTGATTCCTTCCATAATACGCTTCTGTTAACCGATATTAAATACATGTTATAATTATATTGTTTTGAGTATATAATTGATTAAAAACTGCGTAATTATTTTAATTTCATTTTTTCTTTTTATTATTAATGATAAAAGAAAAATACTTTTATTAAATTAATTTTCTCACGTTTGACGGAATATTTTTTTATCACAAATAAAACACGTCACTTTTATTTCACATTTATTTGCTTTGTCGCAATAACAACTAAATAAAATTGAAATATAATTCACATTTACTTTCATTCATATACATATCTTGTATTTGTCACATTTCAATCATAAATATGAAAATAAATACGACCTACAATATTAAATATACGAATTAAAAATGTGAAAAGCACATCGTTTACGTATTATTACGAAATAATTAATTTGTTATTTTTCTTTCAAGCGAAGAAATTCTATAAATCTTTCTCTGTCGAACGATAAAAATTGTATATCTGTAAAATATTAGAACGATTCTTAAAAGTTTTTGGAAGATATTTAACGTTCTTAAGGATATAAATTCGGCTGATTCTTAAATCAATAGATAAAGTTTTGTGATTATGAGGATTGGAAACTTTCGTATGTCTTCTTAAAACTTGATGTTTAATGAAAATTTTATTTCGTGTGGGATTGATATTTCGAAAATTCGTCCATTTATTTGTGGATTTCCCAAAAAATAATGAATTGCGTTTATGGATTGAATATATTCGATAAATGTTTGCTTTGAATTTGTTTTGAAAGATATAAATGAGCACATTCGAATAATGATTTAATATTATTATTATAATAGAAAAATTGAATAGAAGAAGATACGAAAATTTAATTAAAATAAATCTTTAATCATAATAATTGATAAATTTTTTTTAGAATTTTCTAATAGTTTCAAACAAATAATGAAACGAAAATTCAGTCAGTTTATATTTGTAAAATTTACTTATTTGATTGTATATTTTCAGATGTAATCAGATCTTTATTCATTAATAAGATACATGTAGGCAGAAACACATTTTCATTTAAATTGTCTATTAAATAGTAATATCAGTTTAATTAACGCTACATAGCGAAAATGGCCTTGTGGTTTGTTTAGCATAATACAAGCAAAATATTTTCGATGCACGTGTCATTATCAGCTCATTCTATGCTATGCCATCGATCCAAATGAAATTCATAATATCTTAATACTTTCTTTTTATAATATCCAAGTACTTTTTAAAATCGAAGTTTTCAACAAAATCTCTTTAAAATAGTATCCTTGAAATTTCAATTTTTCTTTGAAATTGTGTTCTATTTCAAAGATGTTTGTTTCATCTGTAATTCATTATTGACAATGGCTGATAACGTAGTTTAATATTGAAAAATATACAATTTGAATAATTTTATATTTAATATTTATAAAATTTGATAAAATTTTATATTATAAAAAATTGGCAATATTGAAATATATATATATTGACAATATTCTGATTTTGTACATGTTCATACTTTTGTACATGTTAAAACTGAGAGAAGGTATAAGAAATGTTACAATGGGAGATTAGCTATAACAAAAATTTAAAATTTTAATTGAAATTGCATTGGTAGATAAAGAAAGTAAACATCGATTCGCAATTTCAATTTCATAGAAATTGGGTAGAAGATGCAGAGAAGTACTTTTATGTGCAAAAAAACATCTCCAGAAGAGTGCAGAAGGTTAGTTTTAAAGTGGAGGTGAAGTGGCCGTCTCAAGAGTCAACATTCAGTAGACAGAATGTTTGGAAGCCATTTTATTCGTATGTATGTAATGTATATGATTCTTATATTAAATTTCAATGAATATAAATTGAAATTTTCTAAGTTTTTTCTTTCAACATTATTTACATATTTATTACTCTAATCTGAATAATAGAAATATGTAATTATTTAAAAAAAATATATAATAAGCAAAGTTAAATAATTTTAATTCTAGAAAATAACATCAAAATTAAATATTAAATTAAAGATTTGGTATATTCAATTTTGAGATTTGGTTATATAATCGAAACATTAATAAAGAATTTTCTCATTTAAAATTAATGAACTTTTATATCGCTTTATATTATCTCTTCTTATTTATGTAATTTTATATTAATATTAATATTAAATTCAATATCATAGATTTATTTAAAAGAATCATTTAATCTATTTCATATTCTTATTTAATTTAATATTTCATTATTTTTAAATCTATGTTCTAATTTAATCTATATTTTCTAATCTAAGAATCTTTTTATTATAAATCTATAATAATATGTTATAATATAATAATAAATAATATGTTTTTTATTTTAATGATATTAACATTAAATAATAATATTAATTCTTTAGAATAAGATTATAATTATTGTTAAATTTATATTATGAAATGAAACAATTCGATCCTTGATTGGGGGATTGAATCGATATTTTTATAAAATATAGATCAAGTCTATTTAGAAATCTCTTAAAAATATTTCTTATCAGTGACTGCATTTTTTTTAAATTTTATAGCGTGAAAGGATACCATATTAAAGATTATCGATTTCTGGTATTAGTTTAAGTTTAAAGGTCGTTTCAAAAGGGATAACTATTTAGAATAACTTTCAAACGAAATATTTTTAACTCTAAAATGTAAAATTATATTAATACTTACTAAATTTCTACCAAAATATAAAAATGAATATTTAAAATATATATATACATACATACATACATATATAGAATAATAAAATATTTTAAATAAGACAAACGAAATCTTATTTTAAAAAAGTCAAATTTGTTAAAATATAAATAGGACGAAAATAAAATTCGCATTACAATATAATTACTTTAAAATAAAATTTTTCTTAATTTTCTTCACAATATATTTGTTTCAAACTTGCAAATTTTTCTTCTTTTTTGTTGTATATTTAAAAGAAAACTTAAAATATTTTCAGGCAGCAGTGCACCTATTTTTAGTTCTTTTAAGTTTTTTAATTCGTTTTAAAAGTTTTATCTTTACAAACTTCATTAAATGATTAGTGAAGATAAAAAAAATTAGTTTGAAACAAAATGAGTTCACGAGAATAGTTATAATTAATTTGAAAAAACGAATGAATGATAATGGACTGTTTGATAAAAAATAATACTTAGACTAATTAATTAATTAGATAATCCATCCATGTGAGCTGTATTTGAATATCAAAAACTATTAATTTGCTATACGTTTTATAAATAGTGTTTAAATTTCATTTACTAATTGCGGAAATTTACTAAGCATGATCTCATTTTGTGGTATGACAATTTTTCCTAGTTTCAAAAATAATGGAATTATTAATTTATTACGCACAATGGATAAAAAGTTTTCTCTCTTTTATCCTATTGTATAGTTCAAGTTAAAAAATTATGACTACTATTCATGAAAGCATTTGCAAATGTATCACGAATATAAAAAAGAAAAAATCGTACTTGCATGATAACAGTATGTTAGATTTTTAAGATAATTTTAATATCGGTAACCTTACTAATCTTCACATGTATCACGTAATGAAATTCTGAAAATATAATGAGAATATTTTTCTAAAGAATTTCTTAGAAAATATATAGAAAAATGAAATCGAATGTAATAAATGCATAAAAAATTATTCTCAAAAAAATTGAGAATGTTTGTTTCTTATAAATATAATATATATTAAATTTTTAAAAATTGTGTAATTAATTTCATAGTACATATATTTCAACCATTGCTAGTTAAAAATTTACCTATTTTCCAATAACTATTATCAGATGCAATGCGATAGCATTGTAATTTGAACACAATTGATTGAACTGCAAGCCTAATTTGTAATCCATAGACATCTAGCACAAATCGATACCTCTTTCACCAACCTTCCACTATGCGACCTGTTATTTTCACATCGGTCGTTTGGTCAATCAATTAGAGTGATTATCATGACCTTTTGTCTCTATTCAAGAATTATCCCTTGAATTATTTAAATCTAATTAATCGTTATTTATTCACTATAAAAATAATCTCATAAATTCTTCAAAACTTTTATATTATGTTGTACATGAAATTATTTTTTTATTTTTATCTATTAAATAGCATTGTTTGATTTTTAAATTATTAAATTTTTCTAAATATATTCGTTTCTAAATCTTTTTTTCTTCTATTATTAAATATTCCATTTTGATAATCTTTAAAAATATATAATGAAATTGAAAGTAATGAGATAAACATTCTTATAATCGTAATTCGTAATTTCTTATTTTTAATTTATAGATTCTCCATTTTTATTTGCAAATTATGTTATTACCATTTATTATCATCCGAAAATAATATATATAATAATATCATTTTCCTTTTCTTTGAATTATTTATACAAATACAATCGACATGCAATATCATTAATCAAGATTAAAATATATTGTTAAAAATTATGAATATAATAATTTGAAGAATCACATATGTAATAATATTGCATTAATAATAATTTACATGTTTATTGAATTGCAGTTGCATCTCCGCCGGATCGAAGAGCAACAAGAGACGATATTGCAGTGTCCTCACCCGGTGCATCTCCAAACGTTAATGCAACTACGAGTTGCACTGGTACAACATCGTCTCGATTGCACAATCCTTCCTCGCCAGGTCGAAATGGCCAGCTATCGAGTAAGTGACTTGATAACGCAATTGTTGTACATTATTACGACCCTCATGCAATTATACGCCTTATAGAGTTATGCATATACATTAAAGTGATTAAATGATGTACATTTCCAGGTCAGTTATATTCATGATGAATATAAAAAGTTTTAATCTGTGTATTATACAAAATTTTATCAATTTTTTTTGTAAATTTTATATCATGCTAGTCTAACTTTAAATATAAATAACGTATTGTACGAATCTAGCTTTTCGAAATCTAATAAGATAATTTAATAATCGCGATCCTCATTAAAATATGAGGTGTAAAATTTTGTAACATATTATAAATTCTGGAATAAACGGAACACTGTTTAATACATTCGAGTTTCTCGTGTTTCAGAACAAGGCACATTAACGATAGTACGCCGAAGTTCTGGCAAGAATAAGAGCATTGGCGGAAGTTTCGAAAGTTCTCCGCCCCCGCACAGTCCTGACACTCTTTCGTCAAGTCAATCCGTGGATCTCGATGAGATTCTTGATAATGTCGATCTAACGACAGATTCGCTTCCTGCCGTTGACACCCCCGACGCTTGCGACAAAGCTGCTCTCAGGTATGGTATTTACGAAAATTATATTTTTCTTTGTATTAATTCTCTTTGTATTCTTCTATATCCATTTTTAAGTAATAACATTCTGTTTGATCATTTGATAATTATTGATTTTAAGTGAAATCATATCATTGGAAATCTAATAAAATTAAAATTAATATCTTCTTAGACCGTATTAGAATTTATAGAAATATGATAGAAATATAATATATTTTTTAATATTATTAATTTTTAACTTTTGTGATAAAACAAATACGAAACATTTGTTTCAGATTGAGATGTTTACTGAGGCAGCTTCAACATGGCGAAATATCAGCAGAATTACTTCAACGAAATTTGCACTACGCGGCACGTGTGCTCGAAGCTGTCTTCCTCGATGAAACCAAGTAAGTTTCGTTCAAAATATTAATTAATAATCCTTTCTGCAAATGCCATCTTTAATAATATTGTGACAGTTGTTTCTATTATAGTTATATGCAGACAGTGACTTCTTCGAGAAGATATATGTGTGTTTTATATATATATATGTACATATATATATACATATATGTATATATGTTCATTGTATTGTTACAGTTTTTTAACATTAAATTGCATCTATATCCTAAGAATATATTCATAATCAAACTATACTTTAAATTCTAGGCAATACAACTAATTGATCATTTAGAAATTTATTTATTACTATTTATTATAATCATCGTTTATTAATATTTTATTAATATCTAGTGATTAATGATTTATATTTTAATGAATATTTTCTATAATATTTGACATTTTGTACGACTCACGACCCTTGAAAATACGAAGAAATAACGAAAGTAATAAATTACATTTTTTAACATATATTTATGATATATTATATTTTTATAAAGTATATGTTATCTAGGATAGTGAAAATAATAAATTATATATATATACATGTTAAATTTATAACAGAAGTATCGAATTTTAATATTACCATCAATTTAAGCATTAAGGATACCAAGAGCGCCTCTTTAGCTCAGTGGTAGAGCACTGGTCTCGTAAACCAGGGGTCGTGAGTTCAATCCTCACAGGAGGCAATCAATTTTTTTTTCTTTTCGTATATCGTAATTTTTTGAATATTTACCAATGAACAATTTACCATTTTTAACAATTGTTTTAATAATTCTTTTTATAAATTAAAATCATTATTTATACGAGATGTCTTTATCGTATTTTCCCATAAATTTATATATTTTTAATATTTCAAATTGTTTTTTTTTTAACGATAATATAAATATTCCTATTATTATTCAATTTTATTTAAGTATATAAGTTATTTATATACTAGTTGTTTCTTATGTTAAAAAAATAAAAAGTTAATATATTTCCGACGCTTTTTTTCTTTCTTTCTCATATTTCGTTTAAATATCAAAATTAATAAAACTATAACATGTTAGCAAAAAGGTGGATTCAGGATCGTTTTTCAGCGCTTTCGAATAACGAGCCTGTTCCTGACATCATGAACATTTTTAAAAAGAATCATAAAACTTCGTGAAAAATTACGAAACCACAATACAACAAATAAAATCTTTTTCTATGCAATAAATTTTCCATCAAATTATTCTTAAATTATTACGATAAACTTTGGATATTAACTCTAACAGATATATACTGTTATTTATTTATACAACCCGTAATGGAGCAATGATTATCCACGATCTATATCATTTTCAACGTTCCTTATTTCTTTAAATACGTCCGTATTTCTGAATTAACATATTCCAGCAGCATCGACCGACGAGAGGTAACCTCGAAGATCCTCTCTACTCGTATCTACATAAATCTGCAATAATTAGAATTTCGATATAACCTTTAACCCATAATCTTTCCAGAGTCTATATCAACGCAACTACGAGATATACCCCTCGATGGTGAAATAATTATTTCTCAGAAACAGGTATCCCAAAGGATAGCAGCATCGATTCTATCTATCTAGTCAGCCTATGAATCCCTTCCCGTATGGCGGCGCTGTAATGCTAATGATTATAAATAAAGAAAAAAAACAAAGAAACAAACAAAAGTGTAATATTCTACTGTTCTGTTCCCTACTTGACACGTGCACTAACAAGCAGTATCGCAGGGTGAATTCAGGAGGGGTTGAGTGCTCTCGGTCATCGCGTAGGGGTACGGGCCTGTCATCTGCATCCCTTGGGAGCGCCTTGGACTCGGATGGACAACAGGGCCACGCGGTGGTAACCCAGAAACGGAAGCTTCGCACCCCCGTATGGGCAAGGTTGCGAAATATTCACATTTCCGACCTCACACGACTGTTCACCACCCCCCTACCACGACCTACCAGATATCCAAGACAACCTATCACCCTAGATATCGGCAATATCCCTTTCACGTGTTGACATCTTTTTCTCTCGATCTCATCGAGCTCGTTATTAAGGGTCACGATCATGCGTCGTTTTGCTCGATCATTAGCATCTATAGGGGGAATCGAACCTTATCGCGGTTCAACCGAACAGAATTCGGATCGATCGACCGGGTTGATAGTGAAAAATGAATACGGCGATGGGGGTTGAAAGCGAAAAGCTGACGCGGAATGTTTCCCTTTCGACGATGGCTCATGTGAAACGATTTCTTTTTACGCGTGAAATTTCTTTCTTTTCCTCCTTGCTTGTTTCTTCCGCTTTACAAATGTTACCAACATAATAATATAAATCGTGAAATTGAAGTTTTGAAAATAATATTGGATTTAAATATTCTTCTTATTTATTTAGTTAGAGTTGTGAAATTTTTTATGCATCGTAAATTATTCATTAATTACAACAAGTTGAATATTTTTTATTATTTAACGTGATGTTATGTTAAAAAAAATTATTGATAAAGAGAATAATAGAATGATTATTAGAGAGAAGTTATAGAAATTTGGAATGAAAGAGATTAAATTAAGATTATCGAACATGAAGAATTATTAATTAAATTTAAAAATGTGACATTTTTCGCTCCCTCAACGTCACAGATATACCTCAAATACATACTATGTTTTCTTCTGGTCAATATATACGTAGTTTTGGCTTTATATCAAATAGATAATATAGATCTTGTGCACAGGAATTATTAGTGAAGTCTATAGTACGTTCAGGATTGTTATATTGTTTCTTAACGGAATTGCACATATCTATAATGCACGAGTGGTAATAATAAATTTAGATTTCAATAAGTACAGCGTAGCTGTCTTGCTACGAAATTAAAACCGAATATCATTTTACTAAACAATACTAACTAGCATAGATATGTTAGTTCTAGATTAATAAACAGACATACAAAGAATCACACTACATCTTGCAGTCAAATTCGGTATTCGAATATTTTAAATACCAAAATGCATCAATTATGGCGCGATATTTCAAACAGCATTCTATCGATTTAATTCTTTTCCAATAAAATAAATAAAAGAAACGATGAAAAAAGAAATAGAAAAAAATCTGTTTGAGAGCTCGATAAAAAGAGAGAATAGCTATTTGGAAATGACGTAGATAATCGAATTGCAAATGGTCAAACTCGATCTATCGCGTGTCGAACACATTTAAACACAGCATGACAACTGTCTCTACCTGCCTGGCCTGTCTATCTCCCTTCTATAGCCTCTTTTTAGATCTTTCTAGGTATAACCTGCTCACTTCTTGGATAACTGCCTGTTTACAGCTGTATGCATCGCTCTCTTTAAAAAAAATATATATATATATATACGATCGATATTCCTCCTTCTGTCTCTATGTATGTTTCCTGCGCCAATCTATATGAGAACGTGCATGCGTGTATATATATACATATAGGATGGTGTACGCTGAAAATTCACTTGTTACTTGAAACGAGCTGTTTAATGGAATGCTCAAACGTCCCCTGTACGAATCAAGAGATGACCAAGTCGTCGTCAATATGCTTTTTAATTAAAATAGAGAAAAGAAAAAAAAATAAACGAAAGAGAAAAGAATGAAATATCGCTGGTGGAATGAAAATACGCAAACTTCTATTAATTTTTTACTCTCGTTTCTATTTCCGTTACTGTTCTTTTACTTTCCTTCTCTTTTCTTCTCTTACTTATTTTCTTTCTTCCTCTTTCTTTATTTATGCCTCGAATTATATATCGATGCAATCGCACGCAGGAGGACGTTTCGTGCCTTAGATACGGCCTGATCAATGTAATCTATCGTTAATGTGTTACACACACCTTTTTTTCTTGATGTTTCGAATTATAGAGATGCCGAGCGTGTGGAGTCGACCGCTGCTTGCCGTCAGGGTATAAGACGTAGGTTCGTTCAAATGTTTGAATAACAGAAATTGCTTAAGATATCGTTCACGATCATGATACGCATTGCTTTATATTACACATTACATTATTTTGTTTCATTGAGAGCGGTTAGATTGCCTCGCGTTCTTGAACTCGTGGTAAGGACATGTTTGAGAGAGCGACGCGCATTTCTTGGATCGATAATTCGTCTGAGAAACTGATTAAAGATCAATTGGCGTCGTTGATTTTGTAACATTTTTTAATCACAAATAATCTGTTTGTATCAATAATTAAAACAAGTCGTGTAATATATTTGATGTATTCATATATTTAATTCTTTTGAATTATTTTTATCAATTGTTTTTAAATTTTAAATTTATAGAAGAAAACTTTTCAAAGGGAATATTATAAGTAGTGTAGTATTTATGAAAGAATTAAATACACGTGAACAAGTATAAAGATCAGATGTTACAAAATAAATGTCACACTTTCACCTGCCTTTCCAATGAATTTATACACCAGTACCATCCACACTGCATGGATCCTCATTTATCACGTGTTATTGACAACCGACCACAAAAATATTATTTAATTTACTGTAGATACGGTTATTAAACGCTTTAACATCATAATAAATCACAAAGTTTTTTCTTTTTATCAAATTTCATTTATTCGTGAGAAATTTTGTTATGCACGTTTGTTTCAATTGATCGTATCCATGAATGAAGTAATAATTTTAACACATGGTCGAAAGTAAATGTAATTTATTTTCTGTGCAATAAATTTTTTAACCAGTATTGATAAATCAATATTTAATTGTAACAACGATTCCATGTATCAATATCGTAATTGATTAAAATTTTAAATGTATTCCAAATTTTATGTATTCCAGCACTCACTCAATCAATATCAACACTTGCCTAATATTTTTAATGGTTATGAGAAGAGGATATTAATCGTAGTTTTATTCATTGATATGACAATACCAATATTTATCCAATATATAAAGCTTTGATCGATTGGATGTAAAGCAATGGGAATTAGCACTCTAAAAAATGAAATATAGAATTCAATGAAAAATTATTTTCAATCAAATCAGTAGCGTGTTATTTGCCAATGTTCGAAACACTTTTGATTTTGTCACGTTCTCATTCAAGATTTCATTTTCTTTAAAGGAGATTCCATCACAGTTCTTATTAAATTTACCAAGCTCTCTCTTAAAAGTATTAAAGATATTAAAATATAATATCGTTTGCTAATGTATGTAGCACCGATAATTTATAAAAACTTGTACAAACTTTCTAATTATTGATTTTCTTCGCTATTATTCCTTTGCTGTTCTTGGCCTCGAAGAAAACTTTTTACATTTCTTGTAAAACGAATATAATTTAAAAATTAGATTCCTAATACGATCGATTAACAAATACATCAATTATTAACGATAAATTTTATTAACAATTTTTTTTATCAAATTTTTATATTCCATACTCGTTTCAACAAAAATATTTTAAATGAATGTAACAAAGTTAATATGATCTTTAATTTACACATCGCCATTTCGAAGTAAAATTGATATATCACAGAACATTTTTTTTATTTGCTATAATTCTTTTTCTTTGAAACAGTGTATGCTTGAATAGCTTTCGCATACTATCATCTCTCTTTTGCTGTATATTTTCTCTATTATACCTAAATATCCGCACACAATTTTAAATATGTTATTAAGAATAACTTTATCTGAATGGATAAATAATTTTAATTCACTTTTGGAACAGAATAAATTGAATTGAAATTAAATTTGTTGAACAGTTAATAAAACAATATTCTCAGTTTACATTTTTTAACGAATCTATTGAATCTGTTGAAAATTCAATGTGTCTGTTTCCATCTTCTTCAATTAATACCGAACACGTGCAGTAGTATTATAAATATATAATATTTTCGCAATATGTTATTCGCATGTTTCGTTAGAAAAAACAAAAGAAGCGATAACAACCAAAAAAAAAAAAAAACTTACCAAACAATAGTTTCCAAAAGTGGAACTGATTTTCAAAAGCCGATTAAATCATTCGTAAACCAAAACATTGCGAACAGAGAAACACGCCATACCATAATCCCCATTTTTCATCTAACATTCAATGAACAATGAAATTTTTAAGCGAAATAGAAGAAAATAAATAGATAAAAACGGAAAAACAAAAAATAGAGCAGAAAAGGAAAAAAGAAATTGTATCCATAGCTTCACACGCACCCTGTCACGAATAAACCACCCTATCACGATTCGAGGTAGAGATAAGCATAAACTACGACTACCATTAATTTCTTCTTCACCCCTGAGCAAAGCTCGTAAATATTCGTATCCGTTACACGATCCAACCATGCATTACTTATTTTTTTATTTTTTATCAAACCTATTCGAACACGACAACGAGTTAAATATAACGAAAAAAAAAAGAGGGGGTGGAATTACTAGCAAAAACGATTATTAGCGGAAACTCGAGCGTAAATATCTACTCTCTGTTCTCTCGTTAAAGAAAAAAAGAAAAAAAAAAGAAATCGTAGCGAAGGTAGGAGTTGTCCACCGTGATTCCAACTTGTTTCGCGATCGTCTCTGATCTCGCCGCGTATCATTTAATCAGAACAATTTTCCTTAGGCGGCTGGCGGACGAGGACGATGAACTGTCGGAGGTACAACCGGACGCGGTGCCACCGGAAGTCCGCGAGTGGCTGGCTTCGACCTTTACCAGACAACTCGCGACTACGAGGCGGAAGGCAGACGAGAAGCCAAAGTTCCGCTCTGTCGCGCACGCTATTAGAGCGGGGATCTTTGTCGATCGGATTTACAGGCGGGTCACCAACACCGCGCTTATGCAGTTTCCTCAGGAAGTGGTTAAAGTGCTTAAGGTATATCGTTCGATACCTATCGCGTCAGATTCAAGCGCTAGAATGATTGATGGAAAGCGAATATTTGCGAAAATCAATATATCTTTCTACATGGAGGGAATTTGAATTTATACTTATATAAGTTAAAAATTTCACTCATAACTTCACTTGTATTTTCGATCGAAACTTTTAAGTGAGATACTTTTTGAATGAAAATTAAATTTTATTTCTATAATGAATGAAATGTGTTAAAGATATATAGGTTTAATTTAAGAAATATTAAAATGTTTTAAATTGATTCTCCTTTGATGGATTTTCATGAATGTATATCAAAAAATTATTTGATTTGAATTTTTAACCGTAAATTGAATTTTGTTTTTAATCAAGACTTTAGACGATTGGTCCTTTGACGTATTTTCACTAAATGAAGCCGCAATGGGAGCACCTGTGAAATATCTCGGTTATGATTTATTGAATCGATATGGAATGATCCACAAATTCAAAGTTCCCGCAACAGTATTGGAGTGCTTTTTGGGAAGAGTCGAGGAGGGATATTGCAGGCATAGGAATCCGTATCATAACAATCTTCACGCAGCTGATGTCGCACAGACTATGCACTATATTTTATGTCAAACAGGACTTATGGTAAGTTAATTGAAAAAAAAATTATTTAATTTTATTTATAATATCTCTTCTTCCTTCATTCCGATATCTAAATCCATCATCGAAATATAAAGACTTAAAGTTTCTATAGTGTTTAAAGGGGTGCGAAAATTATGAATGAATTCACGAACTATTGATCCACATTTTTTCCTAAAAAAATATGTATTGTGTTTTTTCAAGAATCGTATTTTCTGTGTGAAATAAATTAATGAAACGAGAGATGTAAATTATTATCTTCAGACTTATAACAATTTAAAATTTTTCTAATTTCAATAGAATTATTTAATCAAGTTTCAAGGAACAAGTTCAATATTGCTATCTTCTTTTAATAATTGTGCTCTTCGTTCTCTGAACTATTTCATTCGTTCATGTAGGAAGATTAGCTCGCGTTTCGACATTTTTATGAAATTTTAATTAAACTATAAAAAACAAAATCGAGAATGTTATATTTTTCTTGAATTTCATTTTACTTTGGTTTGAAGAATTATTCCTTAAATTTTTAAACATCTCTCAAATTCTTCATTAACTTCAACTTCATTAAAATTAATTATTTATCAAACTTCCATTACTCGAAATATTAATCACATCCACTTCAATAAAAATCACAATATAATTCAAGTCTAAAAATCTTAGCAATTCACGTGAACAACTTCACTCAATAGTTTTCCTACCACCAAATTGGAACCAAACTATCGAACAGTTTAAAAGTAACCTGGAACACTTGTGCCAATCAATCGAGTATTTGCGCTTAAAACGAACAAATCCCACGTGTCACAAGTCAGAAATGAATTTCGGTTCGCTCGATTCCCCTTTTCAATCCCTTCCGTTGGAAATTGTTCATTTACAGGGAATTATATACACGCGCAAACGTTTGCTTGTTTGCAGAATTGGCTGACCGACCTGGAGATTTTCGCCACGCTGGTTGCGGCGATTATTCACGACTACGAGCACACTGGGACCACAAACAATTTCCACGTAATGTCCGGTAGCGATACAGCCCTACTCTACAACGATCGGGCCGTTCTCGAAAATCACCACATCTCCGCGAGTTTCCGGTACGTAGGGAATAATGTCATCACGCGTGTGTATTCCTACCTCCTCTTGATGATTGTCGGCCATTTTCGTTTCAATTTGCGAACCGTTATTCCCAGGAACGGTGTTTCTAGTCACTCGTAAATCTTGCTATTGAAATAGTAATTGATGGGCAACATGATGCGCGAAACGTTAACCCTTTGCGGTTTAAATTGCATTGGATACTTTGTTTTGATTGACGTGACGTGTGACAATATTATACGGTTTATTTAGTTGATTGTACATTTAAAACATATTAAATATGTTTCATGTTAAATAGTAATATAAAAATTGATATAAAAATCAAAGGATATTAAGAATGCTACAAAAGAAATGCTACAAAAATGTATGATAAAAAGGATCCGGAAATTTAATTTTCCTTTTTCAATTGAATATAGAATATAATAGTGTATTATTTTAATTAATCCTTACTTTATATTATATGTAATATTATTATTATATTTGAAGAATTTTCTATTAATAATAAAAATTTAATTCGAAGAAAATAAAAAAATACATACACGTATTCTGATAAAGAGTCAATCTAAAATCTACAATCTAAAAAATCAAGATTCTGTTTTTCAGAATTATGAGAGAGGACGAGTGCAATATATTGCAAAATCTATCGAGGGAGGAATTTCGTGAATTTCGTTCACTGGTGATCGATATGGTGCTCGCGACCGATATGAGCTTTCATTTCCAACAACTGAAGAACATGAAAAATATTCTTAGCTTAGCAGAGCCCAGCGTGGACAAAAGCAAGGCTGTCAGTCTGGTTCTTCATTGTTGCGACATCTCGCATCCGGCCAAAAGATGGGATCTTCATCATAGGTAGAATTTTTGTTCGATTTCTAAGGAATTAAACAACTGTTGCATTGAAAATTCCATTATTCAGATGTCATTTCATTTTTATCGGAATAAATTCTTTATTAAAAATATTAGTGTATCCATTCTGATTAAAATTAAAGATTCAAGATATTCGAAGATTTGATTTGATTTTGATTGTTCTACAGAAAAATATCTTCTATTTTCTTTTATTCTACTTCCTTTTATTATTTCCTAAATATTTTACATCCAGAATGAAAAATTCTCTCTTATTCTTTTTTTTTTTCAATTCATTTTTAAAAATCACTTCCTATCTTACAATCAAATAAAAATCATTTTCATTTGTTTAAACATCCATCTGATTTTAATTCCTTTATCAGAATCTCTTTAAATAATTCCATTATATCTTTTATATAATTTCAAAAATTTATATTTTCTATATAATTACAAAATTCCACGCTTTCTCATTTAATTATTAAGCACGATAAAAAATTTAAATCTAATGTAATGTTGTTGTTCCTTCCTCTTAGATGGACAATGCAACTGTTAGAAGAATTTTTCCGCCAAGGGGATAAGGAAAAGGCACTCGGATTGCCGTTTTCTCCGCTGTGCGATCGTAACAATACCTTGGTGGCTGAATCGCAAATAGGATTCATCGAGTTTATCGTCGAACCCAGCATGCAGGTGTGCAGCGATATGTTGGAGACAGTTCTCACACCGTTGAACGTAAAGGAGAGTGTGGACGAATCGAACAACGGTGAGCGAGAATTTCGTATCACACTTTAATGCGTTTCACGTGCTACATTTTGCGATCTTACTCAAATGACGAACAATCCATAGGATCGGGTGGCGAAAGCAGAAGGTTCAAGATTGGGAAACCATGGATTCCATGTCTTGCGGAGAATAAGAGAATCTGGAAGGAGCAAGCCGTTCGAGGTATTTGGAATAAAATTCTTGTTCGATATGTGAATTCGATATCGCGGTATTGGGAAAAAGTATTTATAATATTTGAAAAATGATCAAATTTGATCTTCATTTTTACGAATTTGAATTGAGATTAATAATTGTTATATAACAGTTTTTGTTAAATATTTTGTGAACTTGCTTCCTCTGAATATGAAATTTCTTCGTGGAATATTTGAGATGATACATATGTAATGAAAAATTCACTTTACATTTGTAAAAAAAAAATTATGAAACAAAACTTTGTTTTGAACGAATAATACGTATAACGATAATAATAACAATATGAAATATTTTTCCATAGTTCATGATTTTAAATTCAAATTTTTCTTGTTTCGAATAATATTATAGACAAATTTCTCAAAAATTTAATAAAATAAGATATGAATATTAATTTATCACTATTATATTAGAGGTTCAAAGAGTTCATATTTAAAAATTATTTCATCATTACATTTACTTCTTGTATGTATGTATTATTTCTCTTTTGAATCTCTTAAATGAAACACGAGTAGTATAATTCTAATCTTCTTAATCGACAGACGCTGAAGCAAGGGCGCAGAAGGAACAAGAGCAAAAGGCGAGTAGTGATAACCGCGAGGATGGCGATACGGCACAGCCAGCATCCGAGGAATGAAAAATTCGGCGAGCCATTATATTTTTCAAAAATATATGTAATTTTAGGCTACGAAAAAATTCGTGATCTTATACACCGGATAATATCCAGTGACACGTATAAATGAATCGCGAGCCGGATAAAACAGCGACCTCTATTGACGATCGAGTAAACGCGCGAAAATTCGAACGTATAATTAGAAAAAATACCACGATTACTTATACTGTTTGTTTATCATTGTTTATATTTCACGTTTTTATCGCTCGACCAAATTATCGGTATCCTTTCTCATTTCCAATTCTTGATTTTTTCTCGTAACTCAACGTAGGTCTCAACTTTGCATGGTCGACACGTTCTATTCTCATATCTTCGTTGAGAAATATTCACGATTTATAAATATACGTTTCAAAATTTTTCTTATTCTATATTATTATCGAACAATTACAGATTTTTCATTGAGCTTTGAATTAACGCCTTGATAAAATGTAGTGATACTAGATAGATTTTATTATTTAAATAATGAGTAATATAACCGATATAAATTTTTCATTTCAAAAACAATTCCTTTGACAATTTTTTATTCCTTCAATTATTTGAATAGTGTTTTTAAATTTTAATTTAAATATTATTTAATATTATATAATTATGTAATTTAATATAATTATTGATCATATAATTATTGACAAATTCATTGATGAATTATAATTTTTATTATTTGATTTAAAATTTAATGTAATTTAATATTCTAAGAAAACAAATCTAATAAATGAAATCTTAGAAAAATATGACAAAAGAAATATCGATTCTTTTTTGTAATGGTTCTGAATGAAAAGATCTTTTTATAAGATGGGATTATCTATTTTTCGTTTCCGTATCAATGAAGATAAAGATTAATATTTAACTTTTAAATGATGAAAAATTCATTTGACTAATATGGGTCACATAGTTGAATTATACATAATACAAAATGACATCACTCGTTATATTCTTCATGCAATTTACATATTATACAAGGATCGCGATTCATGTGATCGCTGAGTCACATCAATTTTTAATAATCGATTTTGATTGTCCCATCAAGCATAACTCATGTAGATATATTTTGATCGAAGATATAACGTAACATACAATAGATGCTTTATATCAACATAATAAGATACTATTAAGATACTGAAGTCTTATCTTCCTTTTTTCTTGCAGATTCATTTCCTTTTCATAGCCATATAAAAAAAAGATAAAACCTAGTTCCACAAGATTTGAATTAAATAAATTACAATAATATTTTTTATTACTTTATTCTTATCATTTTTTTTTTATTACTTTTATCCTTATATTCAAATAAATCAAATTTGAATTATTTAGCACTAAAGTAAAAATACAGAACCATTACAAATCAAAGTAAATACGAATATATTAGTTTAATAAAACCATATTTTGATAATTGATTATAAACTATATAAAATAAAAATAATGAATTAATACAAAAAATGAAAATAGAAACGATGTAACAAAAAAAAGAAAAAAAAGAAGAATGATCGTCAAGGCGTTACTTTCTCAGTTTAATTAATACGCTAATACATAAATAGTACTATCTAAAATCTAGAAATAGTTGGTCGAATTTCCATCGTAAACGTAGCCTAAAGTTACCAGCCGCGATAGGTGGCGAGAATCGAGCACACATTACATATTATAGAAAAAAAAAAATGCAAAATGAAATCGTAAACGTACTTAGTGCACAATTGTCCATACGCGATTAAGTGCTAGAATAATATGAAAGGACACTAACATGTCAAGAGGATTTTCATAGCAATTCCATCACAGTTGGAAACGCTGTCTTTGTCCGTACCTGTTTTTTCTTACAATTAGTGTGTAACTACGAGCATATGTTTTTTCATAGGAACGAAGACTTTTGATCTTTGAGAGAATAGAGAGAAAAAAAAAATAAATAAATAAAATAAAAATTGAATTCGATCGTATAACGAGCCACGCGAAATAACAATTACTCATCATTCTCATTTTCTTATAGAAATTCTGGAAATTTATAGTTTATTATATTTTTTTAAGAAAAAATTTTTTCAATCTGTTACTTATAACTCTACGTTTATACGAAACAAAATTACTTATCATTCTCATTTTTTTACGGAAATTTCTAATTTCTTATATCTATCATATCTTTTTAAGAGATTAATCATAGACTCCGACTTATTTTAAACTTTTACTTACAAACAAATCGCTAATGTTTTGCACGTAATATTAGGGTATTCGAAAAGTTATTTTAATTTTCAAATATTTAATAATTATCGAATAAAAATATAAATAAAATATTAATACATCGCTTGAACGCCTTTTCTATAGCTAATTAATATAGCACACGTTTCACCATTTGAGGAAATAAAATCTTAAAATATACAATATTTTTATGAACACCCTAATATTTGATCAAAACATTTTTCTCGAAGCTTTATCAAAAAAATTGATCGAATCGTTAGCACGTAGCTTGCAGAATCGATAGACGCAACTGGCCGTCGCACAAGTGTCGAATTCGAGGCGAGGTTTCCGAGAAAAGAGCGTAATGTTCTTCTCGTTGAAACATCGCGAAATTGAAAGTCTTCGCGCTATAATATTTTTAAATGCCCTCGCGCGATTCGGGTTTCCGCGAAACTTACACTTGCTTTCTCGAAACTTCGACCGACTGGCACGAAAAAAAGCCAAAAAGTTGCTTCTTTTCCGAGAAAGTCCGATTTCTCTGGTTCGATTCGTAAGACTTCGCTTCAAAGTATTCCCATAAGGGAAAACGTGAGATTCCTTACGAAATTATTTCGAATTTCGTTTCAAATTAAAAATGAATCGCTGCTTTTTTGATTCGATTTTTGAAAAAATAATTATTTTTGTGGCTTTTAAGCTACATCTCCCGACAAATTGGAGAAAAAATAAAATAGCAATCGTTCATTTATTACGCTTAATAATAGAATAGAGATTTTTTATCTTTGAAATTTTTTAAAATTCAGATGCTTTTAAGAAAAATAATATTTATATTTAATATATATACTTTTTATTAAAAGTACTTGTTTAAATGATAATATATTTAATAATTTTTTATTATATTTTTTTTCATTTTTAAATACAACTCTTCTGTAAATTAGATTTTGAAATTTTATTAAACGAATCTTGTTTCATAATTTAACTACTTTAAGAAACTTTTTTACATATTATAATCTTCGCTTTGGTCTCTTTTGGTTTCATTTAATTACAGACAAGTAGATTATTCACAAAAGATTTATTTAAAAGAATATGAATCCTAGCAGAATTTCGAAAAATTATATTATATCATTACAGCTATAAAATTATATTATAATCTCTTTTCATAACTGATAATTTTTGAAAAAACGTTATCAAAATTAAACGCGATTAAGAAATATTCTATCTGAATATTGTGTAATAGAAGAACGAAATTCTATAGAATATTTTTGTTATGTATATATACAATGGATTTTCGATAATTCTACATAATTTTGATTTTATCAAATTATTGGATTATATCCATAATACGAAAAACGACCATGATTAATAATATAATACTTTACTAAAAATAAAAAATATATATAAAATATAGAATAAACACGTCTATGCAAAATATGTTTCGTAAATGTTGATACGTGTCGAATTATCGAAATTCTATTATATAAAATAACATCAAAAAATGTCATAAAAAATTGTCCACGTAAAAAATAAGATCCGAATAAAAATACCAATTTCAAAATCTAATTTATCGAATGAAAGGAACGTTCCAAGAAAGGGAATAGAAATCGAATCAAGGAACAAAAAAGCAGACGAATATCGAATCGGAAAGAATCGGACTGTAGCTGTCTGAATTAGATCCATAGGGATATCACGTCGTTGTACATACTTTAGATGTGTATTCGTATACACAAAGTGCAGCTTTAATGTATGTAAATGTAATGTAAAAGAAATATCATTAGCGTTTACTTAACGTGTGTGCTACGTTGTGTACATGTATATATATAGATATAAAAACGATATGGGGACGGAATAGATGCATACCTGTGCAATTTAGGCAAAGAAACATTGCGAGAAAATGAAAAAATAGCGAATGTATAGGTATAATTTGAACGTTTGATCGAACATATCGAGGAATCGTTTTATCCCGTTAACTCCGACCGATTGAACAATGAGTCCAAAATCGAATGTTAATCCTACGGAAAATCGAGATTCGTTACGTTTGTCGAGAAGGATAAAAGTGTAAAGTGTCGTAAATTTGGCGTGTTCGAAACGCTATCTTATTTGTAAGAAATATAAAGGATATATAGGATAAAATCTCTAGCTCGAAGGTTAAACATATCCGTCCTGTATTTATTTTATTTCTCTCCTTCGCGTACGTGTCGTGTTTTAATAATATATTATTCGATATGCTTCTCGATATGGATGAGAAATTATATTTAAATTAGGCTTTGTCGTATTTTATTTAAACTAAAGGTAACGAAGAATTTTAATTAATGATTATCATTCAATTATGATTCAATCATATTTATTTTAGAAATGATATGAGAAAATGTTATGATCGATTAAATTATTTTAATCTTTTATTTGAATCAATTTCAAATTTTTTTTTTTCATCATATTGATAAAATTGTCCCTGTATAGAGCATAGATTCAATATTGAGAAATACTATATTACAAAAAAAATATTTCTATGCGATGCAAATATTATACACCAATCAAAATTTATATACATTATAATTAAAATTTCTGTTTAATGAAATTGTTTCAATTGTTTATATTTATTCAAATACAAAATATCAAATAAAATAAATAATTATTTGTATTGAAAACAATATCTATTCAAATAAGATGACATATTTAAATAGTTATTGTTTATATATAAATTAAAATATAAATAATATTAATATTTAAAACTTCGATTTAATTTTCACGAAGTTTTTTTTTGAGATAAATAAAAAAAAATATCAAAATCTCATCCATACGATTAAATCTATTTCTTATTAAAATAAGCAAAAGATCAAAGTATCACGATAATCGTGATATCTATTCCAACGTTCCAAAAACACGATTCGTACGTTGTTTAAGTGCGAGTAAGTTAACTGTACATATGAAAAAAAAAAAAAAAGAAAGAAAGAAAATTGTGGGCGAGATCACTTGCCTGTTCGCAATCAGATGAACATTCGCGCGTTTTCGTTAGGGCGATTTCTCAAGTAAGACTGTGCACAAAGTTCGAATTCGTTGCTGATCGTTTCGAAAGCCAAGCACGCTCGCGCGATTTCGATGTGTTGCACGCTCGTATTCGTCGTGACGTCAACGCGACCACGCACTTGCCATTTTTGCATTACGTGCCAAGCACGAGTTTGTTTTCCTTCCTGCAGCGGACGAGGGGCCAAAACGCGTGATAGAATTTAAAGAAAAAGGAAAAATGAAC